TTTTTTTATTATAAAAATATATAAAATATTAATTAAAATTAATTATTTATAATAAATTTATATTTTTAAATACAATACCATGAAATTTTGCTTTTAAATTATTTGGTTTGGATCATTTTATTGGAGGTACTGCAAGCAGAGGCAGTAGGCTCAATAATAAAACTTTACTCAACACTGTTAAAGCTTCAACAAGTTAAGTGTGATTAGGCGAATGATAGTCAGTGAGTTCTAGGAATCCCTTTCGATTATTAATGCATGACTTTTCTATTGTCCTGAACTAATGCAGGACTTAGACTAGGCTTGCCCAATCTATTTTATATCTTTTTATTTAGTAGACTTTATTTGTCAACTTTATGCTGTAATTGGAGGTTTTTTTTATTAAATTTTTTTTATTAATAGTAATATAAAATATTAATTGGAATATATTAAATATATGAAATATTAATTAAAATTAATTATTTATAATAAAATTATACTTTTAAATATTATGTAGTGATAAAGAGCGGTGTAAAGTACTCTTAAATGAAACCTAACTATTTGTTTCTGATAATGATATATGTCTTTTCGAAGAAAAAGGTTTACGGCTTCCACACCTAGCTTGTAAGTAAAAAGTGCATTAATATTTATAAAATTAAAAAAAAATATTTTTTTAATAAATCAACGTATAAAGAGAATTTATTAAATATATTTAAGTAATTTTAAGGATATTCTTGTATTTTTTTTAAAGCCGATTTCAAAAACTTTTCTTTTCAAAAAAGAAAGAATTGAAGAAGATTATGCTAATAATAATAACAGTTTTTAATTTAACAATTTAGACAATAAAACAAGAACTATTGAGAGAGATAACCTTCAATGATGGCTCCATTCATAATTTACGTTATGTAATATCAATGGAATAACACTTTGATAATAAAAAAATGAAAGGATAAAAGAAAATTAAGTTACCTTACTAATTAAAGAATCAAGATTGATAATGAAAAAATTTATATATTTTTAATAAATTAACATGTAAAAAAAAAATTCTTAAGAGAATTTAAGCAATTTTCACAAATAATTTTATTATTTAAAATATAAAAACAGCTTAATTTTTATTTTTCTTTAAAATAAGAAAAAAAGAAAATCACAAAATAATATCGATATTTGAGCCCAATAATGCTAGATTCGTTCTAAAAAAGGCTCAATTGAAATGGCAATCCGAATCAGCCACTAGGCCCAATAGCTATCGTTAATAGGGCCCAATCAAAATCCGAAAAAGTGGTGACTTTTTTTTTCCCCTTAACAGGATTACATTTTTAGAGAAAAGGAAATGGGAGAACTCAATTTTAAATCTGGTGAGAACTCTTATGCGTGGAACTATCACTACTTTACCATGAGTTTTCGGAAAAGTAGTTACTTATTGAAGGTTTAATGTTAATTTTTTATTCTATATGCTTTTAATTTTGAATTTTTTAATTTTTAAATATTTTTTACACTTTTTAATTCTTTTGAAATGAAAATGGTCATGCTGTTGTATTAATAAAAGAAGTAGAGCTATTACAAAGAATCTTACTTCCACATAGACGCTCTAACACGTGGTTGTTCTCATTTGCTACTATTGAAATTTTGACTTTATGTATAAGGTAGTTCCAACACAACTATATTAAAAAGAGAAATATCAAAATAAAAATGCAGATTTAGTTCAATTATCTCTTTTATTTTTTAAACCTTAATTATATTATCATAACACACTCCGACATCATAATAGCTTAAAATAATATAAAAGAAATCCCATCTTATCAACATTTCGAGGTGGAACAATAATCGACGAAAAGGGTATTTTAACCTATGTACTTTTTGATATTGTTAAGATTAACCTTGTAACTTTTTTTTGAAATATTTGAATCCGTCACTTATGTATTAAAATAAATTAATACACTTACTTTTTTGTTGAAATAAATTAGCCAAAATCTAACGTATGACATCATAAAATATCAGTTTACCGTGAAACCATTTATTCATCTCTTCCCTTTCTCTTTCCTCTACCTTTGCTAGATTGCAGAGCTGCTAGGTTCTTGAACCCAGTAGATCTACTAGGTTCTTGAACCCAATAGATCTACTAGGTTTGATACCTAGTAGATTTGTTGGGTTCGATCGAATCTAGCGGATTCCTTGGGTATCATACCCAACTGATTTGCTGGGTTCGAAAACCTAATAGATTAGCTAAATTCAATCTATTGGATTTGATATCTAGCAGATTTGCTAGGTTTGAGAACCTAGAGGTGGTGGTGGTGGTGGCGGTGGTGGTGCAATCTTGTGGTGGCGTTGATCACGACTTAGAAAGTCGAGATTTTCCTTGCTATTGCCTTGGATCGACTTCTCTATAGTTTGCGTTGGTTTGAATTAAGATTAATTTGGATGAGATTTGGAATGTAGGGTTCTTGATCTTGACATTTTTGGCCTTAAAAAGGATTTGAAGCCGTTAGAAGTAGATGAATTTGAACCGTCAAGGAGGAAATTTTTAAGCATTTGCGGTCTCCGCTCTAATGGCAATCGTTCCATGATTTTCTAAAGCAGAGAAGAGAGAAGAAATAATATGAGAATAAAGGAGTGGGAAATGAGAAGGGAAGGAGGGAAATCAAATACAAAGGGGTGAGAAATGAGAATTGGAAGAAGGAGAGAAGAAATAATTGAACCCAGCAACTTTGCTGGGTTTCGAACCTCGAGTAGCTCCATTGGGTTCTTTTGAACCCAACAAGCCTCAAATGAGGCAATTTTGTTTGATGATGATGATGAATTAATTGATCTCATTGAATTGATTGTTTAATTTAGAATGAATGAAGAAGATTTGAGGAGAAGGATGCTGAGGAAAAAGATGAGGGTAAAATTGTAAATTTGATGAATTGAATAATTAAAAAGTAGTCCATATCATACCATGTCATTAAATTGGGTCCAACATGTGCCAAGTCATTAATGTATTAATGATAAATAATTAGGTTTAACAATAAATTGATGTTTTATAACGTCATAAGTTAGATTCGAATTAATTTATTTCAATTGAAAAATAAGTGTGGTAATTTACTTCAATATATAAATGATGGGATTCAAATATTTCGATAAAAAATTACGGGATTAATCTCAATAATATCAAAAAATACATAGGTTATATACCCTTTTTGCCAGTGACAATCCCATTGATTAAAAACCTTCGAACAAAGGCGCATCTTATCAAACCCGTTTGGTTTGCTAAGATATGAACCATGAATACCCATAAAAACAATTTTCAAGTTCCGACATCGCCAAATTCTACATGGAACCAATTGCAACAATGTTGCAAGGCATCTTAAAAATCGATGACGGAAATTACACTTCAC